CATATTAATTTTCAAGAATAGCTAGTACAAAGTGAAACGTTCAATTTAACATCGCAAAGTTACATTGCGTTATCCCGTTATCTGCGCATGGCTTATTCGAGCACTTTTGTCTCTTTATTAACTTGAACAATGCGGTGGTTCCATGCTGCCGACTTTGAGAATCTGATAAAATCGTCAGTTGACGTATTAAGGTCGAGGAAATCGCGCGGACCCGTAACCGGGGTCGCGTCGCCCTCAATATCCGTGATTGCTATGCCGGGTACCCAGCAACAGGTAAAACTTTGTCCGCGGGCTTAATTTCGAACACCCGGCACAACGGACGGTCGCACGATCTCGCGTTTTGCAATAAAACGTACAAACTTTCCGAGTGCTTCCGGACGTAATCCATTAACCGTTTAGAGGCAATCAGCTTGAAATCTCGGGTCAATAAAATAGTCATCCTGGCACGCTCGTGGGAAATATTAATCAAAAGAATACTTGATTAGATAACTCACTAGCTTTAACGGGATTGTATAGATACTTAATGCTCTAATCCTAAAAGCAATGAGAGAAAATGTAAAAATAACATTCTTACAATTTGTGAAAATTTGTAAGTACAGATATTAGATTTCGTTACTTAGAAGAACACTTTACAAACATCAACTATAATGTAAAATTGTCATTAGCATTATGTGCTATATATTATATTAACAAACTCATTATGTTAATTTTATTGCTATCGCTGATGTGCATCTATTCTTATTGATATCGATGATATGCATAAATTCGTACGAAGGAGTTTATTTATTTGCACTACTTGTCAGATCACAATGGTTTTCAATTTTTTCATGTGCACTCTAAAAAGAAGCTCTGAGAGGAATAATGCTCAGCTTGCAGTTCACGAACCGGAAAGGTCGCTATTCTGCCTAAACCCTTCTCAATAAAGTACAATATTGTCGTTGTATATCGTGGTACCTACGCACAGGTTCCCAGATACGTACATGTCGAACGTCGATTCCCAGATAAACTTGTACCGGGATAAAACTCTCGCGTCCACTTTTTTTTTTATATTAATACCGTATGAAATCGAGCGTCTCCCCATCCTAACCCTAACTCATCTGTGCCGCTAAATATCGATCTTTCCCTGTCCGATAAACCATTGCTTGTATACACGTGCATGTATACGGAATATTTAACGTGTATGCGGAGTTTTCGCGATCGAGCGAACCAGTACGATAGTGGATTCTCTAAGGCTTCATTGGTCGTCGTTCGCCGTTTACAACTACGTATCGGATTTTGATGCCCGGCCTCTTTATAATTAACTCTTTTATCTATCGACACTTGGGTCGACCATCGGCCGGTCGGTACTCTCTTTTGTGCCGCGTGCCGATCAATTTCGATCACGCTCGACCAAGTAGAAGTCTCGACCGTGGTGGGTACCACATACTCATACCTAACCGTATATACGCAAGGTGCGGCGTGAATAGAGAGAGGGTAGGATAGAGAAAGGAGATCGAAGCGAGCACACGGTACACGGTTCGTTGGGGAATCAGCGAAAGGGAGCCGAGGAGCAAGAGGAAAGACAATGCGCAGGAATATCGAAGGGAACTATTCAGATACTGGACCAAATACCCGAATGCAATGACACTCTAATAAGACCTCTTTCACATGTTGACACGTGTGCGTTGCAATTCATACATGATACACATTAGACATACCTAGACATACCTTAAAGTTACTTTGCACGAGAACTAATGCATTGTGTCGCGAAACGATATTTTGGAACGTATGGCGCGACAGACTATTCAGATCAGTTAAGAAAAATCAGAATTGGATGCATCAATAAAAGAAAAGATCCAATGGTGTATTAAAATTCTATTTCTATATGATGTAACATAATATATGTATAGTATTAGCTATATGGTTCGGAAAATGATCATTCAGAGTGCTGTTTGCTATGATGTAAAATAAATTTTGTGAAGACAGTAACGCATGAACCACATATCAAATTTTTGAAGATCCAATAATATCAGAAATAATATGTGAATAATTATTTGATCCCCCAATTTTTCATGAGTATAAAGTATTGAAGAACACACTTAACTGTATTATACTTGATAACCAAACGTTATATTTCATAACACATATTTTATGCCCATTTTATAGCCAGTGATTGTGTGTTTTTCAATTTAGGATAAATCAAATATATAGAAAATTATAATAGAAGGGAAAATAACAGCCGAATTAAGAAAATTGCTATTAGAAGTAATTGAGGTATCAAATTATTAAAACAGTTAAACAACGCACGAAACACAGTTTGTTTAATTAATCTATATCTGAATAATAGGATTGAAGTGATTGAAAATATGGTGTACGTAAGTTTTCTTCATTAATTGCAAATTTCTTATAAGAAATGCAAACTTTGAAGCTTTTTTTTCATCAAACACAAATGATACGTGCTAAACTTTTAAGCGGTAAAATGTATATCCATAGTAATAAATGTTATTACGTAAATAGAACGTATGTATGCACAAAAACACGAGAGAAATAGACCGTGGCCGATTATGCATTTTGTCTTGCGAACGTATCGGAAATTGCGTCATCACGATTCATCCCCAATTCTCAAGCCTATACTGTGTCTCTTGTACAACTTTTTAATCGTGTATGTACATATTAAAAAATTAAAGCGTTAATCTCATGCGGTTGGTATTCGCCACAGGTTTAGTTTATTATTTCAAAAAATTTAAGTATGAGATTTTGGGAAAATGCATTTGATAAATACAATAAAAAAGGACCG